AAGAATTTTTACGGAAAATTAACTAACGACCAGAGACGTAACAATATCTTATTCATATAGCCAATTTATTTTTCAAAAGAAAATATAAAATTAGGGTGCTAATTTTTTTCAATAGTAAAACATAAAAGTTTTAAAGATCAAACACAAAACAATAGTAACATTTAAACAATCATTATAAGTAACTATTTGCAAGATGCTCACATGGTACAGGAATTCTATTTTTTGTTAAACCTTTCCATGGCTATTTGATTGTAAACGACAGGGTAAGTATAAAAAATTACTGAAACGCTTCAACCATGCCAACAGAAATCAATATACTCAACGTCCCTGATTCATGGGATTTTCTATTGAATATCAAACGTTCACTGTCAGACTACTACTGTGTCTCTGAGAGAGTCAGTTATCTATTGAAAGGTTGAACATTTTATCAACTTTACAGCCTTCATTTGAAACGTTATTTATTTAAAAAGCACACACACACCAGAACAGAAAATACTGTTGTCAGGTTTTTATTGTTGGTAATGAGCTATTTAAGACAGTTAGGCTACTTAATGATGTAAAATAGCCATACATTTTTTAAACGTTCTGTGAAATCTGTTGAAAATCAGCCATAAAGCTAGGTTAGAAAAAGGTCCTCATCTAACTCGTAATACGAAACGCTGGTTCTAAGTCATTTTTCTGAAGACACAGTTATAATTTGTCTCTAAAGTAATAATACTTAATGCTGCATTTCGTGGTTTGTCGTTTATGCACTGATATATACTATGAAAAACTCTATTCCTAAAAAAAAAACAGTAACACAAAGGAGGATATAACAAGTTCTTACTAAATATCATAATTCTAACTGTCATCTTTATCTCTCTAAACAGAAAACGAAATGAATAATTAGGCTTCTTTCATTTATTAAAAATGTATGCTAAATGAGCGGTTCCAATTGTAGCTTTTACTCCTTTTTTTATTCGGTGTGTGTGTGGGTGGGTGGGGGAGATATCTGCTCTGACAAACTGTCTAACGGTTTTTTCTCTCCAAAAGGAAATCTCTATTAGGGAAAGAATCACCATAAATGAATCACCTACTTAATCTGAAATCAGGTAGTCCACAAAGTTAAATAATTAGAATTTTACGGATTCACATACTATAATAAAAAGAAACATACTTAGCATATGATTGCTCATATGTACTTTTCTTATTTAAAATTATTTTGTGATTACTTCATCATTTGTTAGATATATACGTCATATTAACACTAAAAACTAAATATATGCTCAGAACACTTTCTAAGCGATTTATTCCTTTTTTTTTTCAATTTGTTGTATTCAAATATTTTGGCAATTAGAAAAATAGAAAATGACTTTTGTTTACAAAAATTGGTTTAAAATATTTTAGTACAATGAAAAGAAAACAAGAAAAAATGTGATCACGACTCTGTCCTATATATTTCGACATCTTAGTATCACCAGCCTTGCCCATTGACCCTCATTACTCCTTGATGATCCAGTTCAACATAACAGAGCTACCAACAATCATGCATCTGGGCTTATTCTCACGCTTATACGCATTAGTAAGAAATCTCACGTTTTAGTCAAATTAGTAGTTTTCTATGAAGCATTATGGTTGTTTGACAGGCTTAATCCAGGTCAAAATCGGTTTCACATTAATCCAAGAAATGCACCATTTTGTTTCATTGAATAAGAAATTTTCTGGGGAACCATACCCCCCAGATCCTCTTAGAATGCGACTTCTTTCAGCGCTCCAGCAGTTTGCCGTTCGCTAAAATTTTACTTTTTCGAAAGTCTCCCTCAAAGAGATTTCAAAGTTGACAGACCTGACATAGTATATGAATACATATAATATATCTTCAAATTCGTATGTTTTAATTACAATTTTGTCGAATACAACTTATTGGGATATAATTAAGTATAGGCTGAAAAAATTGTAATATATATATGTTGTGACGTCAATGCACCATGTGAATAAACAGTGCATCTATCTATATGCATACTGTCTGTGTCTACCATGCTCTCTGAGTTGCGACTGCAGTATAAAATATCAATATAGGCGTAACGCCAAGTACATATAATACATACAGATATATCACTACGGCTTCCAACAAATATGTGTGTTTCATTTTTCAAGTAATTGCGTTTTAAATTTTTGATAAAAATTATATTTGAGGAAAATTAAAACATATGTTTGCCAAAAGGTAAAAACAAGGCGGCATCTCAGTTGATATACGGCTTTATATTTTAGGATAATGAGATATGCTGGCGATACTACCAAGAAAAAACAAACTTTATACAAGAACAGATAAAAATTAAAAGTGACTATGCATGTTGTAATGTAGTTATTTGAATGTGATAAAATTCTAAATGGGTCACTTTTTCTATTAAACGAATATTTCAGACAATGCACTTAACGTATTCAAGACAAAAGCTCGAAAAAGCAAACAAGCCCGACAAGTTTCAGTTACTACCCCCTTCACTTGATCAGCCTATCATTTTCCAGCCTGGCCGTCGCCTCATGTCTTGTGCCATGGTATACCAGACAGACGTAGAGCCTGCCGGAAGGGGCAGTAGGCTAGATTACTCGTACCGCTGTCGCAAACACGTATGCAGGTTCAGTCTCCACGTGAACAGATGGGAGTGAAGAGCTCAAGACTCAGTCGGGTAAAATGATCAACCAGGAAGGCTATGCAAATATGTATTTCGTCAGTACATTCTGTTTTGGATATAAAATTCTGTTAAACGATTATTGTTAGATCCACTGAATGGACTTGGTAGTGGTTCTGAGAAAGTACCCACTGGAAAACTGCTAGTCACTTGTTACACAATTGTGTTTTATAATATTGTGATATCTTGTTAATTTTAGCGATTTTAATTCTTCAGTGCAGTGCAGAACGCTGATATTAGGAAAGAACAATGTCTGTTTTAATTCCCAATGTAAGTTTTGTTTGTATGTTGTAGAAATTCAAATATTCACAGTGTTTTTATTACTTATTTTTGTGGAGAAAGTTGTATTGTAAGGCAAGTTGCACACTCTGCAGTGAGCAAGCAGATATCACGTGGCATGGATGTTTACGCCCCGCCCTGTCGGCGCAGGGTCGGCACGTGCTTGAGCCGGCGTGTCGTCCTTGTTCGATGTGCATAGGGTGAAACTGCAGTGATGTAGTTATGTAGAACAGTGAAATTTACAGCCTGGAGGATAAAAGGAAATAATTTTTGTTATTTCTAACACAAAATGATAGGTAAACTATGACAAATGAAATAATTGGTTTGCAATCTATCGGTAACACCTTACACAGGCCGCTTGTACTTGAAAAATTCACACACACACACACACACATATTATATATATGCGTGTGTGTGTGTAAAAATATAGATTATTCGTTCACTGTGCTTGATTTTTGTTTTATAAAAAAAATTGTATTATTATTGATATTGCCCTTTGTCAATTAGAGTCGTCATACTTGTTCGAAACTGATAAAATTAAACTAACACTTCTAAGTTTAAAAGTATATTTAAAAAAACTTTCTTGTTAAAGGTTCAGATTAAAATTTAAAGTACATAATTTTGAAAATGTGTTTCACAGAAGGCTTTTAAAACGTAAACACTAAGTTTCTCAAATTTAAAAATGGAAGTTGTAGACATTAATTAGTAATTGAAATTACAAGGCTTAGCGTCAAATATCTTATGAAGACTGTATAATGTAGGTAAATTTGAAATTTTCATAGTGTGCAGTTGATTACAAATTGTGCACCTGTAAAAAATATTTGTGTAGTTGAAAATTCGCCTATATAAGTAAGTTCAAGTGGACAAATATTAAAAAAATATATTTAAGATTATAAAATTCCATTCCAGAGTTGATAAATAGATGTATTTACTAGAATATTCGTTTATTTTTTTTATCATTTGTTATTAGGCCTGTATATACCAGGTTCCATAAGGCGTCATGTATTAAAAAGTGATGAAAGTTAAAATAAATTGTGCAGTTGACAAAAAATCCTTAGGAAAAGCGCTGGGTAAATTCAAGTGAAACACACACACACACACACACACACACACAGATGGGAATAGTACTGGCTTATTGTAATAGTACCATTGTCTGCTATATTAACCCTTATAAATATAATAAAAACTTAAATAAAACATATCAGTGAAAATATAACTTAAACTCCTATTGCTGAGGTAACATTAATAATGATTTTAATTTTGTATTGTGTATTTAACTTTAAGGGAAGTTTATCCATTTTCTATGCAACTTTAAGAAAATTCACTTGATTACTGTACAATTTATGCTGCTAATGAGTGCTATATTACTGACCTTGAAATCTCTATGGTAGGTTGGGTAATTTTTTTTTATATCCTCCCTCTTTTTTATTTTTTTATTCACATTGGGAAAAGTATGAAGTTGTATTTAAAAAGATGAAGTATTAAATCTTATACTTAAATAAATAAATATATTCTTGCAGATACAACATGGTTCATCAGATACAGAAGGGAAGATTCTATCTAACCAAAATAGTGATGCATCTGGAAGATATGAGATTTTCCAATGTATAAATCAGATGCTAGACAATACCCTGGACTTACCTTCTTATGCTGAGCCTAACTTTAGAAATGATAACCAAGGTTCAGGTGTGTGTATAATTTTTGCTTCTTTTTTTTTTGTACCATGTCATAGTCATGAAAATTCAGAATAAGTACTGTTTATATTTCTATAAGATTTGATAGAATAAATTATTATTGTACTTTAAAGAAGTGTTGTTTAAAGTGACCCTGATTTAGCAATCCCAAAGTTATTGGATAAGTATGATTTATATCTACTATATCTTATCTGTAATATGATTATTTAAGCCTACCTCACATGTTTTTAAGTATTAAGTTGAAAATGATAAGACTGTGATGTTTACTAAACTTTACCACAGTCTTTTATTTTTTGCATTGGGTATTATAATTATTACAATGTAATGCCAGCTTTAACAAAGCTAAATTAGTTTTGTTTTATTTTTGTTTAAACTGTGGATATGTCTGTGGGTTTTATATTCCTCTGATTTAACATTTATTATAGCTGTTAAAATGATATCTAATGATGACCAAGATGTTTACATGATTAATTATTATTCAAGCTTCTGTTTCTGCTAAAATGACTTAATTCAAAATAAATATATCCTAATGAATTTTTGAACTTTGTTTGTATAGGGTCATGGTGTCAAGTCTTGTTGTATTCTGGTTTTGTTAATGCTTTATTTTTAAATAATTCATTTAAACCTTGCTCATTAATTTTTCTTATTTTTTTCAGATAATTTTAATTTCTTAAATTGCAGATTCTTCCTCCATGGTTGAACTCTTGGGTTTGAATGAGAGGAATACCTGTACAGGTACATTTTTATGACATGATTCATGTCTCTCAATTCTTTTTCACCTGTAGGCTAGTTAAAGTGATCTCTTATGTTCAATTTTTATTTTTGCACTTTCCAGTAAGTTATTTGGGACATTTTCTTTGTAATAATTAAGACTATAAAAGGCTTTATCAATTGAAAAAGTAAACAAGTTATCCAATTAATGTTTTATCTGTGATGAACAATCTGTATGAATATTCTTGGGTTTGAGTTTAAATTCAGGTTTTTATGTTTATCATACTATCTTTCATTTATGCAATTAAAGATATTCTTTTAAAATGTCTTTACACCTTTTAATATTGCTTGTGATTTTTTTTTGGGGGAGGATGTTACACTATTTGATATGACATTTTATACCTTTTTTTTTTTGGTGTGGATGAGAGGAGGATATTCACAAATGTGTGAGTCTAATGTATGCCTTGAGAGCTTGTATAGCCATAGTGAAGTGGATAAATAGTTTTGATCCTTGAAAATTGTAAATATACTATTCTGGATGAGACAGCTAGAGTGTTAAAGATGATGATATCACTTAATCTTAGAAATTATAATATTTTACTTAGTCATCAGCATTTTTATTCTTCTGTGTAGATTTATAGGTGTTGTCATGAAGAAGACTGCTGTATTTATCAGTATTATAACTATTTGGTATTTTGAGGTTTTGTCAATCTAATTGTTTCAATAGCAAAGAAAGTTCAAATTCTACTGTAAAAGTGTACGCAACTATTTTTTTTTTATTCTTAACAGTCTTGTGCTTATGTTTGTATGTATTCAACTACTGCATTCTTTGAACATACTTTTCAATGCATGGTAAATTATGCTGAAGTTAATTGTTTTTTAAATAAAGCTACAGTTAAATTAAAAGAAATTCTGCATTTTAAAATAATATCTTGCAGGTTTCCAAAGCAAAAGCTTCTTAGCCAACCCTCAGTCTAGTGGTTTTAATATTGGATTTCTCCAGAATTCTCTCCATGTTCAGAGCTTGGCAGCTTTAATCTCTGGATCATCTCCATCTTACAATAATGAACGTGTATCCCAAACCTGTACTCAACCTGTGAGAACACTAAATTATGGTAACACTGGGTATCCTGATGTGGGTAGCTCACTGAACCAGATGCTTCAGCAAAGTTGTACCTTGAGTTCATCAGTCAATATGGATTTACCACAGTCTATCAGAGCAGCAATACCCCCATCTCTACATTATGTTGGGTAATGTCTTATTTATGTGCACGTGTCTAATTTAAATTTAAACTTTTCATGTGAGTTCAAATGCTGATGGAAAGGTTTTCTTGAAGATTGTGAGGTGACTGAGCTTTTAAAAATTCTCTTCTGTTTTTACTAGAAAAAATGTTAACAGTATTCCTAACTTTTAGAATTATTTGAGAAATGCTGAGGTTGATCTGAATCATGTAGATATTAGTTCTTTTGGTTTTGAAAAAAAACACCAAAAAAATTGAAAGATAAAGCAAATTGATATTGACAACATATAGTCAATTACATAGGCCTGCAAAATGTAAACTTCGTAAAAGTTGTTTTGGTTTTAATAACAGATTTTCTATAATTCAGCTACACAGATTTTGAAAAAATTATTTATTTTTTTTGTTATTACATAATGATTTTGTATAAATCGGGAAGAAAAAACTTATTTAAATCATATTATTTCGTTTACCACAATGAATATTTTATATTATTATGTTTGTTAACAAAAAAACAAACTTAGAAATAAGGGAAGAACATTAATGTCAAACGAATATGCATCCTTATTTTTCCTGATTTTTTTTTACTGAAATCTACGTCTTTT